TCACCAGCCGGCTGCTTGCCCCAGCACAGGTTCGATAATGACAAACCTATTAACGCTAATTAACTGGGCCTCACGCCGGTCAATGCTGTAAAAGTGCTCTTGATTTCAAAGGCTCCAGGCTAAGTACCCCACCAGCCTTTCCGGAGGCAGCGGCAGTGACACTTCGGCTACATCTTCATCCCCGCAGCCCCTTGGGGTCCAGCGAGCACCAGTGCAACACTGGGGAGCCAAGATGAGGTTCTGCAGGGTCCTCACCCTGTAGCCCCTCCCCTCCTTGCCCCCCCAGGGACCTGCTCACTCTCACATTGCAGCAGGGGACAGAGTGACGCCGCCGTCCCCCCTGCACTGAGACAGACAGACCCACAGACAGCACCACGTCCTCCCCAGGCTGTCTGTGCTGTGGCGAAGCAAAGCCACGTCCCTTCTCTCTGCCCTCCCCAGCACCGCCAGGCCACGGCACAAATATTGTATTAAAAAGCAGCTCCAGCAGAAGGAATAAATATTCCGGCTGAGCGGCAGGCGACATGGCTCCGGTCAAGCCAGAACACACAGTGATGGGCACTGTCACCCCAGGGGCACCAGCCCCCAGGCACAGCTCTACAGCCATTACCAGAGCATGCAGGGGACAGTGAGCTCGCTGGCACCCCCAAATTCCATCTCCCACGATCAAGAAGGTGACAGGAGGCTCCAGGGATCGGGTGGGGAGAGGGGCTGCTCGCTTAGCAATGCCCCCCCTGTGGGCACAGGTATCCCCAGTACGCTCATCCCTCGAGTCCCCTCTGTCCCCAGTGGGGAGGGGACAGGCTACCCCAGGGCCAACACTACCCCGAGCCCCCGTCACCAGCCTGGCCATGGCAGCCTCCGTTGGAGCACACAGCTCCAGAGATTCCCGTCACGTCGGAGGCTCGTCCAGCCCCAGCGCCGGGTGAGGAGGGCCAGCAGGAGCGGCGGCCGAGCCACCATTCCACATTAATGCCAGTGATGAATATTAATAGCAGGAAGAGGCAGGCACTAACGAGGCCACCTGCCGATTCACACCTCACTTACGGCAATGTGACCGGGTCCCAAGCGTGTCCCCGAGAGACCGGGGACAGGGCTGGGCACACTCCTGCCCACAGCCACAATCCAGTGTTGATGCCCAGCATGGCCACATCCCCAGCCAGAATCACGGATGGCACCCAGTGCTCCCAGCAAGGGACTGGCAGTGGGGTGTCTCTGGGTGCTGTGCAGTGCCAGCAAGTGAAGGATACGGCCCTCCTGCTCGGCCTCAAATCCATCCCCCATCCAACCTCCAACCCACTGGTGCTGCCACGTCACGGCTCTGGGCCAGGCCCCTCTCCCCACACAGCACCCACCTCCCACCACCCATCTCCCACCAGCACCCCCATCCCCGACACCCCCCCCCTCAGCCCTGTGGAGCACCCCTGGCAGGGAGGGTGAGTCCAGCGGGGATCCCAGCACCCTGGCATCCACTAGCACCCTGGCATCCACCGGCAAGTGGGGCTTAAGGTTTCATTCAGATAAAAGAGCCTCTTAATCCGCTGCCTTTGAAGTCGGAGACATGAAAGCGGCTGGGTGCCAAAGCCAGAGAGGAGGCAGCTCCGCTTAAAGGGACAAACCCACGCGGAGCCGCCCGCACTCGCACCCGTCCCCTCTGCCCCCCGCACCCGTCCCACGCCCCACCTTCCCACCCCACCCTCGCCCAGCCCCGGCGGGGGGCTGCTGTGGTCCCACGAGGAAAATAATGACAAAGGGGGGGACAAAGCCCACAGGCACAACCGCTGCCTTCCCACCTGGCACGGCGACGGCTGCTCGGCTAACGGCGGCGGGGAGGCGAGCCCGCTCGCCCCGGGAAGGGAGCTTACTAATGAGTGCCACGACCCCGATGGCAGACGAGGCACGCGGTGCTATTAGCACTAATTCACTGTGCGAAAACAGAGAGGAGCTGGGGAGGGGGCAGGCGCAGCGGGGAGAAAGCCGGCGGGTGGGGAGGGAGGGAGGGAGGGAGGCACGCTCAGCGGTGAGATTAAGGCCAATTTCTACAAGGTGCCTGCATCCGCTGCGGCTGCAAAGCCCAGCTCCCCTCCGGTGCCTCTGACCCCACCTCCCGAGCGGCACAGAAAAATCAGGAGCCAGGCAAAAGAGGCTGCCTGGCAGGAGCTGCTTGCAGTCACCCCCCCTTTGGGCCATCACCGTGGCTTCGAGCCTCACCAGCTGGAGAAAGGCTGCCCCCGAGCATCAGGGACAAGACTGGGGTGGCTGCAGGGAGCACACAGGCACCGAGCCGGCATCAGCCAGTTGTTAACACGGCTGCTCCCCGGCTCCATCACCCCAGCGAGGGCCCCGACACGCTGAGCTTGTCAGCAGCTCCCGGCAGAGCGGGGAGGGGAGGAGAAGCAGCGAGGGCTGGGCTGGTGCGGTGCCAGTCCCTGTCCCCAAGGCTGGCAGCGCACCCCTGGGACCTGCTGCAAGGCAGCAGCGTTGCCTGCACCCAGCCAGGCTGTGTCCCTGTGAGGGCACCCCCTGTTCCCCCCCGGGCAGTAGCGCTGGATCTCATCCTGCACAGGTAGCCCCATCCAGTGGCCACCCCATTCCCGGCAACAGCCCCCCATCCCCTCGCCAGCCCCTGGAGCCAAGTGGGGAAGCACATACAAGCTGTTGTCTTACCTCTCCACGATGTCTGCGATGGTGCAGGCAAACATGAGGAGCCCTTCTGGCATCTGCAGGGCCACTGGGAAGAGAAACAGCCCCCGGGTTAGGAAGAGATGCCCCGAAGCATTGGGACCTGGGTACCAACCCCTGGGGCCAACGTGACCACCTCAAGTGGCAGCCACAGGAACAAACCTCCCCAGAACAGCCAGAAAATTGGCCAAAAATCCCTGCTCTGGCAGCCGGGGTGCACATGGTCCTGCCTCGGGCCATATCCATTCTCCCTGCTCGCGCCCGGCCCCTGAGCACACACCTCATCCCTTTTTGAACCCGCTGACACCGCTGGTCTCTCCCGCTTCCCTCAGTAATGAGTTCCAGATTTTAATTATGTGCTGCACAGGAAAAGGTACTTTCTTCTGTTTATTTTAAACCCGCTCCTAATAATGTAAACGTATGCCCCTGGTTCTCCCAGTACAAAAAAGAGTGAATAATCATCCCCTATTCAGCCTCTCCGCATCATTCACAATTCTATATCCCTCTATCATATCCCCCTTCGTTCGCCTCTTTTCCAGCTAAAGGATCTAAATCTATTTAATCTCTCCTTGTATAGAAGCTGTTCCAAACCTTTGATCGTCCTCGCTGCCCTTCTCCACATCTCCCCTCCCTGCCTCTCTCCCCGTTTCAGGAGGGTGGCCATCAACGACGCGGCGTTGTGCCTAGCAGGAATTTATTCATCAACGAATAATGTTTCCTGGTTTCCTCGCAGCTCAGAACAATCCCTTTGCCTCTGCAGCCCAGCTGGGGCCCCCTCAGCGCCTGAGGTCCAGCCAGGACCCCCCCATGGATCCCCCCGAGGCTGCCCCAGGGTGGTGGGGAGGAGCAAGGACCATGCTGGGCCAGATGAATGGAGAAGGCTCCATTAATCCCGTTGTCGTTTCACCTTCTGATCCCACTAAGACATCCCAGCTCCAGCAATATCTACCCAAATGTCCTCTCCAGATCTTCCTCCAACAGAAATCCTGGCACTGCCAGGCCCAGCCTGCTGGCCAGCATGGTAAAGAGCTGCCCCAAACCGGGCTAATCTCACCCTATTCCAACCCCCAGGGCCCGAGGAAAGCAGCCTGTGCTCTGCCAGCCCCTGCCCAACCTGGCAGAGCCAGGCAGCTCAAGCTCCTGGCGTTCTCCAGCCCATTTGGGACTGCCCAACCCCAAACTATTGCCAAGAAACAGACCTGCAAACAGCGAGGGGGTGGCAGGAGGCAAGGTGGGTCACTCTCTGCCAGCACGGCTCTATGGGGAGTGGGGTGACACCCCAGGCCCCCAAACCCTACAGCAGGCAGGGCACAAGCAGGGCTGGCCGCAGCCCGGTGGGAGGCTGCGTTCCCCCAGCAACGAGCCCCTGGCTGGGCTCTGCATGCGCAGATTTTTAAATCCCAGCACGGCTGGCTGGCTGATGGGCTCCGCTCCCAGCTCTGAAGCCTAAATCCCAGCCGCATATTTACATTTAATTAGGAGGTGCCAAGCAGCAAAACGTGGCAACAAAAGACGGAGCGGCACGGCTGGGCGGCCTCGCCGCGTCCCGATGGGCAGCTCTGCCTCCCACACCGCAGCCGGACCAGACCAGCCACCTCCAGCAGCCTCCAGCCCCTCGGCATCACAGCCAGGACCAGCCCAAGCAGCAGCTCATGGAATAACCCCCCCGACGCCTGCCAGCTCCTGCCAGGCCCTGCCAGCTCGGCAGCAGCCAGCAGGGACATTCCCAGGTGGACGTAGCATTTCAAATCTCTCTCTGCCCAGAGGCCCCGGCACAACCCATAAGCAGCCCCTCCTCACGTGCAAAGTGAGAGTGGGGACACTGATGACACCCCGGGATGAAGAGGGAGGCTCCGTGTCCTGATGCTACAGCTAATCACACCCTGAGAGATGGCCCAGCTACAGCACCGCGGAAGGGGACAGCCCTGGCACCACCCCCCAGCACCACAGCACCTGCTCCAGGGCCACCGTGGCCACTCCCCACCCCTCCAGGGCTACAGCAACTCTCTGAGGACCCCGAGGAAGGTTCAGACCAGGGAGTAGCGTGGCCCAGCTCCCCATCAGCCCCTCCAGCCCCCCTGGAGCTGGGCATCGTGGGGTTCCCTCTGCCTTGCCCTGGCAGCATGGCAGGAAAGCGCAGGGAGAGAGGAGAGCAGCAGGGACCTGGCCAGCATCCCAGACACATCTCACAGGCTGACAGGTCTGCGCAGCTCAACCTGTCCTGTCCGATGTGATTATAATCCAGAGATACAGATCTATTAACCCCCCTCGAGGGGATGAGAGCTTGCCAAGACAGAGACTTAACGCGCAGGGGCACACTGGGCAGCTCAGCACTGTCCCTCTCCCAGCCTCACTGGACCCACACCCCAGCCCAAGTGGGTCCCCCCGCTGCCAGGGAGCTCAGTGGCACCGATCTGCCACGCTGCAGCCCCAAACCCCTCATCCCTGGGGCCGGTGCTCACCCTTCTTGGCCCGAGCCTGCCAGATCCGCCAGATGGTCTTGGGGATCTCGAAGTTGTAGTTTCGGGGCAGGGCCTCCGCTGCCTCCCGCAGCTCCACATTCCCCAGGATCTCCTCGGGGATCTGCTGTGCCGCTCGCCGCGCAGGGCCTCGGGCTGTGGGACAAATGGGGTGGCCTAAAGGAACGACCAGGAGGGGGGCACACCCCGTACCCCATGGGCCACCAGCATCCTCGCTGCCCTCATGCCACCCCCGGGATCAAGCAGCAAGAGAAAGGGGTGGGTTTCTGCCCATCTTGCTGGCACTTTTTGGGGGAAAACACCTCCTTTGCCCAGAAAACACCACTGTAAGTGTGCAAAACCCTACAAGTGGGGCTGGCTCCCCCCAAGCTGAGGGAACGCCAGGCTCAACATCCCCCATAGCTCATCTGCAAGCACCCCGGGAGCACCTTCGGTGGGGGAGGGGGGTGTCCCCCTCCTGCCCCATCAAGGGGATCCCGTTATCCTATCGGGGAAAACTCAACAGCAGCGGGTGAGCCAGGCCCGTCCCCGGGAGCTGCATCCTGAAGCCGGCCCCCGCCAGCAACCGCCCCCCTACAGCTCGGCGAAACCGGAGAGCGGCGGGGGAGTGACAGCAGGGGGATTATTCACTATTTCCAGCCCAACACCGGCACTCATGAGCCACCAAACCCTCCCCGCACGGCCCACGGTCGAACCGCCAAAGGGCCAGCTGGGCCGGGACGGTGGCGGGGGAGGCCGGGACGGTGCCTCCGCCACCGTCCCGTCCTCCCCCGCCACCGGCTCGGCCTCCCCCGCTGAGCCGACCGAAATAGCCGCCCGGTACCGGCACCGGGAACCCAGCGTTGACCCGGCCGCGGCCCACCTGTGGCGGGCACCGGGGCCGCGCTCCCGACCCTCACGGAGGCCGCCATGGCTCTGGGAGCACGTGAAGGCGGGAAGGCAGCACTAAGCGAACCCCGCGCTAGGCCAAAGCAGTCGCTGGACGAGAGATCGAGTGCGGGAGCGCGCCGCCGGGCCCCGACGGGACGGGCGGTGCGGCGGGGACAGATGGGTCCCGGGCACGGTCCCAACGGGGCCCTGGGCGTGCAGCCGGCTGTGCCAAGCGCTGCGATGACGGGGATGTCCCCCTCCCCTCACGTCGGGGACGTGGCCCCGCCGCATCCCCCCGGCGGTGCTGATAGCCCCGGGGTTACGGGTTCCACATTAACGCAGGGACGGGGCGAGGGCGCCGGGGCCGTTGTCATGGTGGCGAGTCCGTGCTTCGTCGTCCCCCTCCCCCCCACCATGTCCCGGGGCAGAAGCCGAGAGCCTGCGAGGCGTGGAGCAGGAGGGACCCGGGGGTAGCAGGAACCGCGGGGGGCGATAGGTGACCGGGGAGGCAGCGGGGAACCCCCGGGAACAGCGGAGACCCCGGCGGGGCACTGGGAACCGCATCTCTCCGGGTGGGATAACGGCACCCCCGGTGGGGCAAAGGGGGCGGGGTGACAGGGACCCCCGGGGGACAGGAGGGACTCCCTGGGCGGCAGCCGGGAGCCCGGTGGGGTGTCGGGACCCCGATAGGGACAGCGGGGACAGCTGGGGGACAGCCGGGACGGGGGGAGAGCGGGGACAGCCGGGACCGGGGTGCAGAACGGACAGCAGAGCTCCCGGTGGGGCGTCCGCGACGCCGCTGGGCTACCGGGACCCGGAGGGGACGGAAAGGGGCGGAGGGCACCGTAGGGACCCCCTCGGGGCGGGAGCGGGGGGGCGGCAGGGACAGTGCTGGGGCGCAGTGGACAGCGGGGACAGCCGGGCTCCCGGTGGGGCGGCGGGACCACGGCGGGACCGGGGGCGATAAGAGGCGGAGGGGCCGGTGGGGACGGCAGGTCCCGGTGAGGCGGCAGGGACGGTGCTGGGCAGGTGGGACGGCGGGGACAGCCGGG